GTGGCCCAAACCCGTGGCGAGGGGTGGACGCTTTATAAGGGTATGACGGGCACTCAACAAGACGATGGCCAGCCTGTTGGCAAGGACCTCACCTGTCCCTGTCACACCTGTGCAAGGGGACCCATGACCTCGGGCATGGCGGGGGGGTGGTCAGAGGAGGGACAGCAGCGCTGGGCGGGGGACGCAGGGGCCAGTCCCCTCGACAGCACTCGAGGTGCGTCCTGAACACGGGCATGCGGGCGCTGCTGCCATGAGCAGCCGTCACACGGTCTGCGCGTGTTTGGGGAATTTGGAAAGGGTAGAACACCGACGAGAGTCTGCAAACACTGGCCCTCCAGTCTTCAGAAAGATGTCTCCCTTACGCAGTAGGTGACCTAACGAGGACGTTCAAATACGGCCGGGAAGGCGCCCAAACAGGAGTCATTGAGGGTGACCACGGGAAGCGCACCTGTCTTCTGGCCCCGCAGGGAGCAGGGCAGGCTGAGGTCCCGGTGCGTGGAGACAGGTGTGGAGGGTGGCGGCACTGTGGTGGCCCTGTCTGTGGCTGTGTCCCTGGCCGAGGGTGGGGGTGGCGGCCGGTGGTTTGGTTGCCCCGTCTATGGGGGCCAAAGCCCTGGACCCCCTCCCTCCCAGGAACCTCCTCACCCAGGCTGCTGACCCGGCAGCTCCGAGCCCCCGGGATAGTCCCGAGAGACCCTCAGGTGGGGTCCCGTCTACAAGGACGTGTCCCCACTCCCCAGTGGCCGGGCCCTGCCACAGCACGCCACGCAGCGTCCTGGGGGCAGGAGTGGCCGCGGCCTGGGGGGCTGGTGCCCTGTGCGGCACCAGCCCTCTGTACCGGCCTTCGCACAGCCAGCCCGGGCTGCAGCGCCCACAAGCGCCCTTGGGGAGCGGCTGCGGAAACTGAGGCAGAGCAGGTGGGGAGCTGACCCCCGGGGCCAGGAGTCTCGGAGGCTGGGGCCGAGCTCAGGCTCTCGGCTGGAATCTGGGCACTCCAGCCTGTGTCCGGCCCCCTCCAACGTCCACCAGCTGCGGGGGGCCTCCCAGTCCACGCCCGGCCCCAGCTGGTGTCCGCCAGGCTCGGGCCTGAGGCCGCGTGGCCAAGGCCTGACCCGGCCGAACCCCGCCCTGTGTAGCCTGTTGTCGGTGCCCGCTGCGGCCCTGGCAGGGACGGCCGCCCCGCCCCCGGGAGTTCTCACCGGAAGGCTCTGGAGAACTGCTCACTTCCTCCAGCCCTGCCGCAGGGGCAGACTCCAACCTGGAGAAACAAAAAGTCGGGCAAGTCCCCCGTCTGCTTCCCAGGAAAGTCCCGGCAAAGTCCCTTCGCTCCCGCCGCTCTCAGGGTGCTTCCTCTGAGCCCCACCCAGCAGGGAGGGGGTTTCTCTCCTGAGGACGGCCGTCCTGGGCAGCACCTGGCCCGCACCACGGGGCCCCGGCCAGCCTCACTGAGGGGCCACCCCGAACCCCAGGGCTGGGGGGACGGGCCAGCCCCCCACCCCGGGAGCACTCGCCCGCGCCCGACGCCCCAGGCAGGCTGGGTGTCTGGACGGCTCGTCTCCTGCCCCCCTGCCCCTTTCTAGGTCTTTCCTGGGACCACGGTACTTGCTCACCAGACCTCTGCAAATGCCCGAGCAGGGCAGCTCGGGGCCACCCAGGGCAGGGGTCGGGGCACCCTCCCACCACCCAGGGCCGCTGCACAAAGGCAAGGCTGGGGCCGCGCGCGGGAGAGAGGAGGGAAAGTCCTGGAACAATCAGGGGTCCCGGGCTCCTGGCCAGCGGGGTCCTCGGCTGGGAGGCAGGAGCCGTGGAGGAGCCGGACTGCCCACAGGAGGCTGGTGATGGGGGTGGGCGGGGTGTCGGGAGCCCACCTGGCAGGTCTCGGAAGAGCTTTCCAGGCACAGGGAATAGCCAGGGCGAAGAGGTCAGGGGTCGAGGTGGGGCTGGGGGCAGAGGGGCGAGCTGACTCCCCCGGGGCGCCTCCCGCTGACCTGGGTCACTCCACTCTCACACGCCGGGGGTTTCCCCGGAAGCCTCTCTGTGGCAAGGATCCTGTCCTGGAAAGTCCCAGCCACGAGTCACCAAGGAAAAGCCGGGCCGGCCGTGGCTGGGCGAGGCCACGTGCCCTGCAGGGCTCCTGAGGCTCGGGGCCAGTGACCCGGTGTTGGGGCTCAGCTCCTCTGGGATGGAGGTGTGGGGCTGGCACCACCGGGGGCCAGGGAGGACACCACAGGGGCCCGCAGCTGTCAGTCTGCCCGCCTGGCTCTCTGCTGGGCGCAGCCCCCGCCCCCAGGCATGGGGCAGCTGCAGGTGCCCAAAGCCCACCTAGGGGCGGGAGGCAGCCGCAGTCCAGGGCCCGAGGGGCCCAGCAGGACAGACTGGGGAGCGGGGACGGCTGGGAGAGAGAAGCAAGGTGAGAGGGGACCCTGAGAGCTGGCCGTCCTCCTGGAAGGGACTCTTACTCTGAGGGTGAGAGGACAGGCCAGGGCCAGGGTGCAGAGCAGGGACACGGCGGCATCGGCCAGATGGCAGCAGTGGGAGACAGAGGGGAGCCGGGGTGCAGGAGGGGTGCAGGAGGGGGGTTCAGGCCAGCTGGGGGCTGGGCGGGGCAGGGAAGGAAGGGAAGGGGTGGGTGGGGGTGACGGAGGAGAAGTCTGGGTGGGAGGAGGCGCGAGGCCGGCCCACACATAGTGGGGGGAAGGGGACGGGGGCCAGGTTCAAAGAGGCGGGCGTGGGGCGGACCACTGCAGGACACAGCTGCGTTCTCCACAGCAAAGCCACTGCCACTTAAGATCCCTGGGGCAGGGTTCTAGAAAGGCCGCATCCCGAGGGGTGGAGACCAGAGCTGGCTGCCTGGAATTTTCTGGAGGTGACGATGTTACTGTGGTTACACAGGGACTGTCCTTGTCTCCGCGTATCTGGGGCAAGGCGTGGGAACGTCTGCAACTCACTTTCAAAAGTGTCCATGAAAAAATGAGACACATGCACGGGGTGAAAGAGGTCAGGCGACCCGGGTCACCGCTGCCTTGGGGACATGGCGGGTGTTCCAGCCGCGGTTCTCACAGCGCACCCAGGCGACGGCCACCGTCAGACAGCGGTGGACCGTGCGGCGTCTGGGCCAGGATGTGGGGAAGCCGGAACCTGCCACGCGGACTGTCAGCGGGAAGGTGAAACGGCTTGGCCACCGTGGAGAACGGCTCGACGGCTTCTCAGAACCTGAGACGTAGAATTCCCGCGGGACCCAGCGACCCCCTCCTGGGTCTGCACCCCGAAGGACTGAAGGGGACAGTCGAACACCGCGTTCACGGCAGCATCACGCACGGCAGCCTAGCGTGGGAGGGACCCACGCGGTCACCGACGGACGGGGACACGGCGTGGTCTGACCACGCAGCGCAGTGTTACCGGCCTGAGAGTACATGGCACAACACGGATGCGCCTCGAGGACACTCCGCTGAGTGACACAGGCCAGTCACAGGACAGGCTGCGGCGTGGGCAGCATCTGTTGCCTCACGTCGGGAGTGACCTCTGACACTTCTGCCCGGCCGGCACGGCGTGGTCTCGGAGTTGCCAAGGAAACCACACGGGCCACGGGGCTGGAGCCAGCTCCGCTCACTGGGGCAGGGACGGCCAGGCCACGGCCCTCCAGGCAGCCACACAGGCCAGGGCCCCACGCACCCCTCCCAGGCTGCGCAGAAGGGCAGGAGGGCCGGCCCCTCCCTGCAGGGGACAGGCTCCGCGGGAGCCCCGTGACACACACGGACACTGACGCAGAGCGCGACACGTGGACTCTGAGACAGGGAACGCCGTCCCACGCCCGGGCGGCTGGGCGCTCCGCCCCTGCCCCAGCGCTGCGGGACATGGCCCGTTCCCTGGCGGCCGCGCAGGGCTCAGAACCCGCAGGCGAGGGACTGGGGTTCCCGACACAGACAGGGCCCGACGCCACTCCCGGGGGGCCTGGCGGGTGTCGGGGGCTGGGAGGGGACGGGGTTCAGTTTGGGGGGATGAGAAGGTTCCGGAGATGCAGGTGGGGAAGGCTGCACGGCAGAGCGAAGGCGCTCCACGCCGCTGGGCCTCGCGCTCAGAAACGGCCGCACCCGGTCTTCTATCCCCGTAACAAAAAAGGTAGTTTTGGTTGAAAACTTTTGGGAAAAACTTCCAATGGTCTGAGCTGCCGGCATTTGAGCCGGTTTCTCTCTTAAACTCCAGGGTCCTTCTCAGAGAAATCCCGTCGTCCCTGTCACCACCTGCTGGCGTGGGGATGGCCCTGTCACCTCCTGCTGGCGTGGGGACGGCCCTGTCACCTCCTGCTGGTGTGGGGACGGCCCTGTCACCTCTTGCTGGTGTGGGGACAGCCTTGTCACCTCCTGCTGGCGTGGGGACGTCCCTGTCACCTCCTGCTGGCGTGGAGACGGCCCTGTCACCTCCTGCTGGCGTGGGAACGGCCCTGTCACCTCCTGCTGGCGTGGGGACGGCCCTGTCACCTCCTGCTGGTGTGGGGACGGCACTGCCACCTCCTGCTGGTGTGGGGACGGCACTGCCACCTCCTCCTGGTGTGGGGACGGCCCTGTCACCTCCTGCTGGTGTGGGGACGGCACTGCCACCTCCTGCTGGTGTGGGGACGGCACTGTCACCTCCTGCTGGTGTGGGGGCGGCCCTGTCACCTCCTGCTGGTGTGGGGATGGCCCTGTCACCTCCTGCTGGTGTGGGGACGGCCCTGCCACCTCCTGCTGGTGTGGGGGCGGCCCTGCCACCTCCTGCTGGTGTGGGACGGCCCTGTCACCTCCTGCTGGTGTGGGGATGGCCCTGTCACCTCCTGCTGGTGTGGGACATCCCTGTCACCTCC